GGCTGCACTAGTTCAGTCCGTGCTCTGGGATTCCAAAACTTGATGCGGAAGTTTTGAGAATTGCTGATGTTAAAAACCACCCGAGACGTCCCTACATCAGGAAAATGAACCTGAATACAAATGCTGTCCCTAAAGCTAATGCAGCACTTACTCTGGTTCAATTTTGTTGTATCAACAGGTTAACATTGCTGTTTACTGGCAAACAGTTATAATGGCTAATATTTACTCCCTGCAGTTTTGATTAAGTAGCAAAAGTATCAGAATTTTTATCACTATTCGAAAATTTTCTCTAGGATCTCTTTTCCATAGACAGCAGTGTTGTTAAATGTTTTGACATTGCAGTTTTACGGTTGCTCAGTCAATTTGAAGATTTTTTTAATCATAAGGAAACGTCAAACACTAGCCTCAGGGTTCAAAAAACGTAAAATAGAACCACACAATTCTGTAGCTTAACTTGCTGTCAAATAACAGACTTCATAACTTTTCAAACCTAAAGGTTGCCCTTTGCAGGGTAGTACACCATATTAACTTAGAATTATCCAAAATAAGTGTTCCTCTTTGCACTTTACTTTTGTTAAAGACGACAGAAGAACAGCTCTAACATTAACGTCAATATGCAATGTTAGAGTTTTCGTGGAAAACCAAAACACGAACAAAAGTGTGAGTCCTTATTAGGATGCTTGGCCGCTACACCCAGCTTACGGGTCAAGCACATCACCAGCATGATCACCGCTGTCACAGTCACCATCTCTGCTTAAACGTGTCTTGCTGCAATGACATCACCACTGCACGCAACCTAAACAGTGGATCACATTGCATCACAACCCAGTCCTGACAGTAGCGTGCACACATCATTACACCATGAAAAACAACACTGTTCACTTCCATGCCCACAGGTTACAAAGTCTAAAGCTTACATGCAGTCAGTGGCTTCTTTAACAGGAACAACAAAGTTGTTTCCTGTCTGTATTGCCACCGACAGTGTAGAGGTGCACTTTCCACGTAAAGAAACGAGGATAAACAAACACCACATGACATAACAGAACAGGAGAAGCCTTTTCTCGTATAGCACAGTTCACTGGGTAATTTCATGTCACAGCTTTTCGCCGAATTAACTAGTGAACCTTGGAGGGCGCACAAATCTAATCGAAGCAACAACAACAACAAAAACAACTGTGGCGATGTTAGCTAAGAATGCTAATCAGTCTCTAACTTAGCTAGGTTTGCTACATGGCCTTCTCTTGATAATCTGCGCACTTAAATAACAGAAGCCGAGAGAGCTGACAGCTGGTTTGCAACGCATTTAAATATGTCAAATTAACGGACTGCTCCCGAACAGCGGTTACTTTGCCTCCTCGCTCAGTACTGTTTACCTTTCTCACGCCTTTGTAGATATAAAAGTAGAGTTCCCGGCCCACATTGAAACAGATCCTGTCGCCGTTGCCGGACTGGTCGTTTACATTGACGAAGGAGACCTTGACGGGATTGGAGCCCTGCGAGTTGAAAGGCACCCTGTTCGGGCGGCTGTATTCAGAGTGAGTGAGGAGTTTGTAGACACCTTCTCGTGTGGTGAACTGAGTTTTAATTTCGTTCATCTCCTTCCCTCCTCCCTCCGCCGCCATCTTGGAAATCGCCGTTCATCCTTGTCCTGGCCCCGGATGTCAGCGAGAGCGCATGCGTTGAACCGTTGCGCTCGCAGCCATGCGTACAGTGAATTATAGAGTCCAGCAGAAAAACAGAAGTGTATGCGCGTGTAAAACGCGATTAATTTAAACAATAAACACATCGACTTAAAATAACTCGCTGTTATTTAATATTTTTTATTGCTAAAATCAATGTGTTTTTACAACTTTTATGGACCACCAAAGCAATAAATAAATTATATTTATTTTGAATGAATACAAATAAAAAATTCTATGTAATAATAAGAAAACCTATGGTGAAAAAGCTTTCAATTGAGTATAAACAGAGTAAACAAAAATAAATATTATTAGTAAATAAAAACAAAGGGGGAAAATCTCTCTGTGCAATAAAATCTTCCATAGTCAAGACAAAGACAGAAAGTTCTGAAACAGAAAACCAAGACTGAAACTCATGGTCACTTCTGTAATCAAAGCACCAAAGTAAGAACCATCCCAGGATGTAAAAACTACCTTCTGGCACTAAGTTCCAGAAACATTGCTATTATTCTCATTCTTCCATTTCATTAAAAAAAGGACTGACTCACTGTCTTACTCAAACAGAATAGTGGAACACCGAGAAATTTGGCTTCTCTCTTTCATCAGTTTACACTGAGGTACATGAGTATTCAGCTTCTAGTAACGTCTGCTACCAGCTGGAAACATTTAGATTATGTAACTGATCCCTAGAAAGTGCGATACACTGCCCTCCTCTGGTAAGTAAAGCCATTACCGCTCAGATCGGACCAGAGTATTCTAGTCGTCTGTCTTACACAAGTCTGACTTTAATTATTTTTTACATGTAAGTGCAGCCTATTCCAAGTGTTATGGGATGAATGGGTTTTTGCAACCTCTTGCTAAACCAGCACAAGCTCTCATCAACACACTGTGTCTTTGCATACACATATTAATGTGTTATAGGGAAGCTTATGATTTCTGCGAGAATTTAAGAGCATAGTCAAAATTCAGTTTGCTTCACTATAAGTCTCTCTCTATCACCAAATACTTTGGATGGCATATTCTGTTTGCAATCCACAAATGAAAATCAGGAAATTAAATGGAAAGTTCTAGACATTCCTAGTAAGTTGGTCTGCAATATGCATTATGCAAATAAAGAAAAGGTAATCTAAACTCTGACAATATGCATATATAGATGTGTAAATAAGGCAGCATATGGGTTTCCCTCCAGAATTTCTGTTTGGTGAATGTATTAATCAATAAATTTATTAATAGCCCAGAACAAATTCAGAAGTGTATGAAGGTATGAGCTAAACCAGGCCCAGCCCAGTAAAGACACCACTCTGATTGTGAAATGTGAATGAGTACACAGATTTTGAACTTTTGACTGTATTTTCATTAGTTTTTACAACTTTTCCTATTGATAAAAATCTCCCCCACAGCCATTCATATTATACGAAAGTAGCTAAGTAATAGATAAACAATTAAATTGCAGAAAAGTTCCTGTTTCTGTGATATACTATATAAATTTGTTTTGTTTTTGTTTGTTTTTTTTAGTTTTTTCTTTTATTAGTTTTCTTTTCTTTTCTTTTCTTTTCTTTTACAAAATTGAGACACACTGTTAAAATTGCATTAAAGACATCTCAGGGATTAAATGTTTAGGTAAATGTCTTTCTCTGGTCCAGCCCACTGAAGATCAAAGTGGGCTGTATGTGTCCCACAATGAAATGAATTTAACATGCCTAATCTAAACTGTGAATGGACAGCAAGTTGCAAACAGCATCCCAAATAGCTTTAAATATGAGCATATGTGGGTGCAGTGGGGCACCATGGCAGCTGCTGATGGCAAAGGCAATGCACAGCTGTGGTGCTGGGTTATGCTGTCTAACAGCTATACAAGCTATCAGTGAAGCTCTCATTGTGACTGACAGGCACTCCTTGTGACTCTGCAACCCTATAAGGGCACACCAACTTTAGAGCTCCAATGTCCCAATCGCAACCCCCTTCCAGACCATTCCTCAGCACCCCCCTGACTGTAGTGAACATACAATCTGGAAGCTTCTGAATGGGAGCTTCGAGAAACCATCCCGTAAGTATAAAAACACATTGTCATGTCGTGTGGTCTGCATAGAGTCAGAAGACGCTCACTAGAACACAACCAAGAGAGACTTACTGCCCACAGGAGCAGCAGAGAAGCACACACTTGAAGTTCTCCAAGAAGAGAAGTCAAGCTCAGTGATACATTTGTCTACTAAAGGTGACAGAACACAAAGATTAAATCTAAGGTAAGAATGGATTCAATGCAACAATCATTTCAATTTTAGAGTATACTGGGTGCTTGCACGGTTTTATGTAAAGTGAGTGATTTAATTCACAAGACACTTACTGCTCACAGGAGCAGCAGCCAAGCACACACTTGAAGCTCTTGAAGAAGAGAAATCAAGCTCAGTGATTGATTCAACTATACAAAGTAACAAAAATAAAGATTATATTCAAGGTATGAATTAGAATTCAAGGTAAGAATTAGAAAATTTAAAACAACTTTTTCTTTTTACAGTATATTGGGTGCTTTTGTGATATAATGTAATTAACTTTAACCTTTACTATCGGTTAGAATCAGAATGGTATAGTGTATGTGCTTTTCTATCAGTGTCTAAGTAGGACTGTTACAGGCATGAAGCACATGGCAAGCAAGGTGACCCAAGTATGGGACCAATGGCTTCTCAGAATCTATTCTAACAGCTGATGCAGCACATTTGCATCTTAGCTTAGTAAA